TCTTTGATATATCAAGATATCAATATCAAGTCTTACTCACATATCATCTTACTCAATCTAGGCTATCTTCATCAGAAATATACAAAAAGATATCTTAGCAACAGTTTTCAATACATAATCAGTAGATAATTATAAAATCAGTATAACTTAAAATCTGAATAAGTCTTTGATCTCTGCACAGTGAGATATATTAAATCTAGTGTTAATATCTCAATATTTAATAGATTCTGCAGGAAATTCAGAACAACAATACTAGATTTCTATTGAACTTGAGAATTAACTCTATATTAATATAATTGTTGACAAAGTCTTCTATTTTGAAATATAAATAATCAGTTCCTCTACATTCTGTTGACAATATTTATATTATTATATACAAACAGACTTATATTCTCTATAATATCAAGACTCTGAAGAGAGAAAGTCTTGATAGAGAATACATAGTAGTGCATAGACTAACTGTGTGACTGTGTATGAAATCAGAACCAGCATATTTGATGATCTCATTATCAATTCAACTGATCTTATTACACAGTTTTAACATTAGATAGTAGTCTTATACTGTCTCAGTGAGACTTACTGTCTACTCTTATTATATTTTTCAAATGAGATTATGATTTTCACTTCTCAATTTAAAGTATTCTTATTGCTTTAAATGACTTTAAATCTAATTTAAGTGTTATCAAAAAGTGTTACTTTTTAAAAAAATTAAAAATAGTCTAAAGAAAACCTTAAAATGTCTAAAAATAGTAACTTTATACTAAGAATGAGACTAAATGAAATCAAATGAGATCACTTTCTTATTTTTTCTAAGTCATGATTTCATTTTGAGATCTGATATATAGTCACTTTGCATATTTTTTTAATGATTAGTTCCAAGCGGGATTCACACCAAGAAATGTATGAAATCAGATCAAATGAGATTAAATATGAAATTCATGAGCTCAGTAGTCAGTCTAGTAGTGCATATCTTAGCAGTTTCTATCTCATTCTTTTACAGCAGTTAATGTAAAAAAAAGATCTTAGAACTAGTCTTTTACTTCTGTTGAAAAAGTAAGATGTTTTTCTCTGAGTTTTATACAATATTCTTACAAAGAATTAAAAAAAGAGTTGTTTTCTGTTATAATTTCACATTATTTTAAGTAAGAATTACTTATTCAGTGACTGAAGAGATTTCATTAATACTTAATTCTTTTATACACTTTTTATTAACTGATTTGAGTTGCATACTTGTTACATGAGAAGAATTGAATGATTTAGAATAAAATTAAATAGTTTTTATCAATTTCTCTGCAAAAAATTGACTTATTTTTTGTCAGTTTTTCTCTTAAAAACTATCATATTATATGATTTATTATTAATTAATATCATAGTTTTTCTCACTGTATTCTAAGAAAGAGATTGTAAAGTGTAAGAGGTCTACGCTGAATAGATTGATATAATATATATAGATCTTATAATACAAAAGTGAAAAACATTAGAGAAGTAAAAAAGAGAAAGTGTGAGAATCAGTAATTGAAGTGAATATTTATATATATATGTGATTGTAAGAGGCCTACGCTAAATAGATCGGTATAATATATAGATCTTTGTGACAGGCTGCACCCGATCAATTATATAGACTATTCCGTACACTTCATAGATTTCTACTGCCTCATTTCTGATCGCTGATTCTCAGCTGTTATGAACATGTATATTCCGATCGCTGATCCTCAGCTGCTATGAACATGTGTATATTCTTTCACCTCAAAGCTTCACTGTGTACATCATCACATACATGTATAAATATTCACTTCAATTGCTGATTCTTATACTTTCTCTTTCTTTTTCTTCTTTAATGTTTTTCTCTTTGTTATATAAGATCTATATATTATACTGATCTATTTGATGTAGACCTCTTACACTAGAAAAACATTCATTATCTTCTCATTAGAAATGATTATTCATTGAGAGATATCTGAATGTGTAATACTGTGTAAGAAAGAGAAACAGTTAAACAGACACTGAGTTCTCAGATAGAAGCTTACTCATCAGTTACTCTGACTCTGTAATAAGATCTTACAAGACAATGTCAGTGAAAGATCTGAGAGTTCTGACACTCAGATATATAAGAATATGATTACACTTCTTCAGATTTCACAGATATTATATATCTGATAAAACAATATAATCATGTCTAATAATAATATGAGAGAACTCTCAAGCGCGAGTATAGAGATGATACCACAGTGACTCTGAGCAATGTTGAAATTACAACAGCAACAGATACCAGATATGTACATGACTCAACAACTTTAATATAAATTATCTCAGCATGCTCAGCCTCTCTTCTTTATATTTTCAGATTAGCACAATCAACTAAACTTCTTTAGACTTCTACTAAGTCCTGCTAACTTCTGAATTAATAAGAGACTTCACACATGCTTGCAACCTAATATCTTGTAGAGAGTCTGAGAAGAAATGATTTCATTGTATATGAAAAATTAACTTCACTTATACAAAATATTCAATTGACTTCAGAATTATACATCTACTCTAAATATCTATCTGATCATCATTAAACTGATATTTTTTGAATTCTCAGTCATTCTGCTATCATCTCTGCTATTTTACAACTCACTACTTCTTCTCATCATATCATAATTATTGACAAAAGACAGCATGTCTTTTGAATCTCAAGACACTCAATGTCAGACATGCTTCAGTCAATATTCTTCATTACTTAAAATTGAATTCTCTCTACAATCACTACAGTTTTCTAATAATATAGATGATGAATATGACATATCAGATAGTGACTTAACAGAGCTTGAATCTATTAATACTTCTTCAGAATTTGAGATCACTGATACTGATACTGATACTCTGTGAGCTTGTTCACAATTAAACTGCTGTGGCTCACAGCATCTGTCTACAATGCCTTATAACTAACAGAAAAGACAGTTGAAATTATCTCATATTGTCAGAACATTACAGTAAAATAGTTGAGAAATGAAGATCTTTATAGAGACTTAGATTCAGAGTTCTGATATCTTGACTTATTGATAATACAGTACTTTTACAAAGCAGTGAAATACACTATATTCAGTACTTTTCAAAGCAGAGATATTCAGTGATAATCAATATTATACTGTCTTACTTAAATAGAAGCTGAAATGTCTTATCAATACTCTTTTCTTTATAAAATTCAATCATGATTCTGATCTGAATATCATTGACTTTCAGACTGCTTTTGAGATTATTCAAACTGATATATCAACCTGATTTGACCTACTTACTTCTGTTCTAAAAAATAAACACATCAATTGAAAGAGTGATAAATGAGACTCAGATGAAACAATAGCTATCAAATAACTGTTTGTTATTATGAGTATTATATATCACTCTTATTTCTTGAAAAACTCAAACTTCTTCAGCTCTATTCTCTCTGCATATTTTCATAACTCAGAAGTAAAATGATAAGTGATAGAAATCATTTCTAGCTTTGAACTCTGTCACAGCTATGTAATGAGAAATAGATTGATAATGAAAATTGCTAAATAAGAGAAGATATGACTTAATATTCTTAACTTATTAATATTTCTATCTAATATCTCAAACTTCTAGTAATCTCTGATAATATCTGTCATTTTCTGACATGTTCTTTAAACTTCTATCAACTTCTGAGTCAATCACTTGACTAATTCTTACTGTTAGATTAAACTTCAGCAGCTTATCAAAGATTCTTGAGCTGTTATAGTCTATGATAATATGAACTTCAAGAAGACTGTACAAGATGAGACAATTAGATATAATGATTTCATAACTGCTGTGACTACTGCTGCTGTGATTATTTCCTCTAACATTTCAGAAACTGATCTAACTCAGATTATGCATGATTTCATAAGACTGCTAACACTGTAAGAAATTATTGATGTATCTGATATAGCAGATAATGATAATGAGCTTCAGAAGCAAATAACATCATATCTTATTTCAGATGCTGTTTGAAAGATTCATAATAATAAGATTAAAAGTGTTTTCAGTACTGCAAATGATTTATTATCTCAAATATCTGTTATTAATACACTTTCTGTGCATAGAACATGTTTTCAGCAGTTGAGTACTATTTTTAAAAATGAGGACACTATTGTGAGAACTATGAGAGTTCATGAGAAGATATTTAATAATTTTCTTGATTTATCAAGAGATTATACAGCATTTTCAACTTATCTCTTTTCAGTGTAGAAAGATGCTTTAATCATAAAACTCATTCAGTTAGTCAAGATGAAGCAGTCAAAATCTATAGATATCTTTGAACAGTGTAACTGACTTCATTCTATTTCTGAATGATTTCATATTCAAATGAATCTACTCTGTATCATTATTCATACTCATTTTGAAGCTGAAGTCTCTGAGAAGACTCATCACTGTATTGAGTCTGATCTCACTCATTGAAACTGAACTTCCATGACTGCTGTCAATCCGAAATATCATCTTCTTAAGCCAGTGATTTCTCAGAGCTTCGCATCTTGAAGTCTTGCTCTATTTTATACTATCATACAACATTGAGATTATTCAGTTAGCAATCTTAAGCACTCAGAAAATATTAATTCTATTATACAACAGCTTAGTTCTTCACATATAACCGCAGGTCTTGTCAACTGGTCTGGAAAACCCGGCTTCTTCAAAGCAATTGATCTAGGCATGAAACATCTCAATGATAGCTGTAAGCTAAAGATGAAATGCTATAAAAATTCAATAAAGAATACCTATCTTATATTTAATTGAGTCTGTCTGTCAAATACATGAGTTCATCAGCTATGATGAATTTTAGAGTCTATCTTTGAGCATTCACTTACTGAGAAATATACAAGTGCTGTTATTAAGCTTGAGATATTCTCTACTGCTAGAAGTCTGTTAAAGAATAATTATATCTCATCTCAAGATGTACTTTTACTGTCAAAGTGTGGCGGGCTGCGCCCGATCAATCATATAGACTATTCCATTACACTCCATAGATTCTTCCATTCCCGATCGCCGATCCGCGGCCGCTACAAACGCGCGTAGCGTACGCTCCGATTCTCGGCCATTCCCAATCGCTGATCCGCGGCCACTACGAACGCGCGTAGCATACACTCCAATTCTCGGCCATTCCCGATCGCCGATCCTCGGCCGCTATGAACGCGCGCATATTCTTCCACCCCGAAGCTCCACTGCATACATCACCATGTATGTGTATAAATATCCACCTTGATCACTGATTCTTGCACTTTCTCTTTCTTTCCTTCTTTAACATTTTTATCTTTGTTAAATAAGACCTATCAATACAATACTGATCTATTCAGTGTAGGCCTCTTACACTATAAAAATGTTTATTGTCTTCTTATTAGAAAACAATTATTCACACATTATCTTCTCATCAGAAATGATTATTCATCAAGAGATATTCAAACATATAATAATATGTAAGAAAGAGAAAACACAGTTAAGCAGATATTAAGTTCTCAGATAGAAGCTTACTTGTCAGTCACTCTGACCCTGCAATAAGATTTTATAAGAGAATATCAGTGAAAGACTCAAGAGTTCTGACACTCAGATGTATGAGAATATGATTATACTTCTACAGATTTCACAGATATCACATATCTGACAATTGATATAATCATGTCTAATGATAATATGAAACTCTTGAACATGAGTATAGACACGATGTCATAGTGACTTCAAGCAATGTTGAAATTACAACAGTAACAGATAGCAGATATGCATGCAACTCAACAACTTCAATATGAATAGATTCAATGATTAACTCATACAATTTCAACATCTACAGAATTGAATACAAAAGTGCTGATAGAACACTTAGATACTCTTATATATTTTAATGCTTCTGATCTCACTCTCTACTCATCATGAAGAATGAAAATACTCATGAAACTGAGTGTAGATGAAGATTTCATCAGTTCATTAATCAATCAAGATTGATGTATTAATGAATAATTGAAGAATCACACAAAACAGAAGTTTTATTCATGAATGAAAGTATGTGAATCAGTGTTGTGAATGCCTGATAACATTATGAGACATCTTGATATTCTGTTTCAAGACACTGCTATGTAACAGAAAGCATTAGATTGATTACAGAGTATCTGACAGAGAAACACTTCTCTTACAACATTTATCTCTGACTTCAATATCAAGATTTTAGAAGCAGGTAATCAATCTTGAAAGAATTGAATGAAGATTAGCATACTTAAGAAGACATTGACTTTCAAACTCTTACAGACTCTTATAAGTGTAGATGAAGACTCAACTTATAAAGGCTTCTGCACACAGCTTCAGACATTGAATGACTGTCTTATCACACTCAAGAGTATACAGAACAGTGGCAGAAGATGTTACATCTCAGTCACTTTTACACCCGCACTGAAGAATAATGATACAGAGATCATGAACTGAATAGATTCAAATGTCTATATACAAGCAAGAGTTTTCACTGTTTAAACAGACTTCTGAGTCTCTGAGATCACTTCTGAAGAAGTCGCTGATTGACATTAATATGAAGTGTGTATCAACTGTAACTGATCAGAACACATTGCTTTCAACTGCTGATTAATCTATGTGTCTTCATATTTGAGATAAAGATCAGTGCCTTCTTATTCAAAGAATGAATCAGCATCTGTTCATGTCAACTACATTACATTAGAGAAATATTTAAAGAATAACTATAAGAATGTCTCAGTGAAACAGAGAAAAGATTAGCTTCTGTTCAAATTTATAAACAGAAGATTGAAGAGGTCAGATGACAATAATTTGAAGAGAAGATAATAATGTATGTAATTCTTATATCTACTGTGATTAATAACATATATAATATGAAGATCATGATAGACAGCGGCCTATGTCACTATGCAATGATAAAATCTTCAGTCATAAGATATCATAATCTTCAGTGTATCTCTCTATCAAAACTCTGACTTTCTGCAGAATTTGATGATTCAAAAGACATTTGTACCTGTTACATGATGAAGCTGATCATAGATGTGAGAGAACATCAATATGAAGATGTCTACATATATGAAGTTAATAATCTTGATTATAATCTTATGATAGAACTTGTCTAACTGTCTGAACAAGGCATCTTGTTAAATACTTGAAATAGAAGCTTGATATTCCCTAACAATGATAGAGTTCATGAAGATGTTATTCAAAAGACTATGAATCTGACACAGATCTCTGTCAATACCTATGAACTGCTTAGAAAAAGAAGTCACTGAAAGAATTGCTGATAGTAGAATCATGTGTTAATCTATTTCACCAGTCTGACTGATATCAAAAAGGCTCTAGAAAAGTTATTCTGTATTATAAAAACAGATTCTCATACAAAACTCTCTCAATAATATCATGATTATCTAGATGTCTTTTCACAAGATAATATTATAAATATACCTCTCTTACAAGGTTCTGAAGTGAATCACAGTATCAAGTTAGAGAAAAAGAATGATAAGAACTCTGAATCATCATGAGACTCTCTTTATAATATGTTTTAAGATGAACTCCTTCTTCTTTGAAAGACACTCAATGATCTGTTGAATAAGAAATTCATACATGTTAGTAACTCTTTCATCACAGCCCCTATTCTCTTTGCAAAGAAACTAGGTGAAGAACTCTGATTCTGCATAAATTATCAAGAATTTAACAGATTAATGAAGAAAGACTGTTATTCTTTATCTCTTATTAATGAAACACTAGCTCACATTGAACAAGCTCAATGATTTACAAAGTTAGATGTCATTACTGTGTTCTATAAAATTCACATCACTGAAGGAGATGAGTGACTTACAGTATTCTGAACATAATAAAATCTCTTTGAATGAGTAGTCACACTCTTTAAACTAATCAATGCTCTCAGCACATTTCAGAAGTATATCAACTGAGCACTCTGAGACTTTCTTAATGAATTTGCATCTGCTTATCTAGATGACATTCTCATCTTCACTGATAAATTCAGAAAGAAATATCAAGAGTATGTATAAAGAGTATTACAATGACTATAAGAAGTGAGACTATCAATTGATATTGACAAGTATGATTTCAAAGTCAAGAGTACTAAGTACTTAGATTTTATCATAGAAGCTGATAAGAGAATCTGAATGAATTCTGAGAAGGTCTCTGCTATTCTTGAATAAGAGGCTTCACACACTGTGAAAGATGTACAAAGCTTCATTGAATTTGCTAACTTCTATCAGTGATTTATATAAAACTTCTCAGATATCATGAGATCACTTACAGATCTTACTAAGAAAGACTCAGTATTTCAATAATCAGTGAATACTGAAGCTGCATTTACATAGATAAAGAAGATGTTCATTAATATCTCTCTGCTGACAATATTCAATTCTGATGATAAGACAGTTATTAAGGTGTAAGAATAAGTGCTCGCAGGCGATTATTCGGGTGTTTGCAGCTTGGCATGATATGTACTGTTAACTACTAGAAGTATTCGCGGTAGAAAGATAAAATATAGAGATCAAATGTATAATAGCATTTAAGCTGAGTTGTGAATAGTATTTGTGAACTTCAGTCTATATAGTTGTGTGTAGCCAAGGGCCGCTAGCTCTATTAATTATGTGAGAGATAGAAATAGAGATAAAGAATTTATGAGAAGTGAGATTTCTTATATATCTTTCTCTCTCTAAGACTTTGTCTGTGAAGTCTTTCACTGAGTGACTTCATAGAATCAGCTCAGCACTGCAGTGATACTCACTAAAAATTCTTCATATCTATAAAAAATCTCAGTGAGGAAAAATCCCTTGTTATTATAAAGAAAAAAGAGTCTGTCACTCAGTTTCTTATTCTGTGAGATTCTTTATAATCTAAAGATTCTTCTCTGACTATTATACAGATTCATCTCATATCTTTCATACAGAAGAGTTTCAGTTAACTCTCAACTATTTTCACAAGATTCTTATGTAATCATTACACAGATTCATTTCACAGGTGAATCACTCTCTATGAGATCACTCTTATCAAAGAGAAGTATTTGTAAGTTAATCTTTCACTCATTCTCATAAATTATTATTCTTTGACACTGTAGAATTATGAGGAATTTTTCATTCTTTCATCAACTCTATAGAATTATAGAATCAAGATATTCACAGTCTATAATCACTCTTTATAGTCATATAGAAAGATTCAGGCCTGTGATTTATAATCACTCTTATTTATTAAAGTGATTTAACTGTTTTACAGAATCACTCACAGTGTAAGTAAATCTCTCTAGAGTAGTATAAATATCTCAGATCTATCTGTGAAATCTCATCTTCTTTTTTCTTTTTCTATAACAGCTTTTATCTTTATAAACTGTGAGTATTCTCATTCATCTGTGAAGTGTTTTTAAAGAACATTCTTGAGAGAGAGTGTTTCTAACAATATCTGTATATTGATTCAAGAACTTCTCAAGAATAAAATTTTTTTCAATTTTAATATCTTTATAAATAATATCTGACTGCTACTGAGCTTCTTATGAGTGTTTCTATAACTTCTCTGATTGCTTTTTACTGACTGATAAAGCAGGAATACTGCTGCTTATAACTGTGTCTTTATCTCTCTCAGTCTCATAACTGCACTCAATCTTCAGATCAGTGATTAATCTCATGCCTCTCTCAGACCAGTCTCTGACTCTAAGCAGCACAGTTCTTATGTTTGCTGTAAGTCTTCTTATAAGTAATTTCTTACAGACTCTAGCTGACAGTTCTTGCAAAGCTTCTGATGTTGTCAGTGTCTTCTGCAGTCTCATGAGTCTATGATCATTCTCTCTCTGTCTGTACAATCTTCAATCAGACATATGTAAATATGTCTAGATTTCTCATCAATGATTCTCACACTGCAGTGCATTTTCACAATCTCATTATTAATAAGAGATAGATCTCTGAGTACCTGCAAAATTCAGATAATTAAGACAATGTGAATATTATGAATTCACAATGAGAGTTGATCTGAGCAGATGAGCTCTCTCTTCATATCTTAATTATTTTCAGGCTGAATACTTCAGTACAACTGAGAAAGTAGATACAGCTTTGTAAGAGATATCTGATCACATATACAGATAATCAGTTCTCAAGATTCTGTTATAACTGTACATATTCTGATGTTCAGCTTCTCTGAAGTCTGTGTATTTCTGACAGTTTTCATATCAAATGCAATAATTATCTGTATCATGAGTATAA